CGCAGGCAGCCCGGAAAACGCCCAGAGAGGCACCCGAGAAGGCAGCCAAGAAGGCAGCCAAGACGGCAGCAAAGAAGGCAGCCAAGAGGCAGCCATAACTCAGCCAAGTAGGCAGCCGAGAAGGCAGCCGGGAAAACAGTCAAGAAGTCATCCAAGAAGGCAGCCAAGAAGGCAGCCGAGAAGGCAGCCAAAAAGGCAGCCGAGAAGGCAGCCGAGAAGGCAGCCAAGAAGGCAGCCAAAAAGGCAGCCCAATAGATCACCCGGGTGACTCCAACCTAAGACCCATGGAGGCCCAACCGGAAAGAAAAAAAAAATGGGGCGCGCCGAAGAACCCAGGGGGTCCGGTTTCCGCGGAGGAAAGAAAAAAACCCTGGCGATGGGGTTCGAGCACGGGGGTTACCCCCCCCTCAAATTCCGGAAGAGGAATGAACTCCCAGCCGCGGGGGTGCCCGCGCGAGGGGTCCCACCCCCCCAAGCGCAACCAGAGGAAGAAAAGCGTGAGAGCGTGATAGTACCAATTGTACTCAAGTACGAGTTGTACGGTAGTCGGAGGGGTTCAGGGGTTCCAACGGCAACGCGCGCGGGGAAGAAGGAAAGAAATCCATGCGCCGCCAGGGGTCCCGGGTTTAACGGGTCGCCGCGAAGGTTGACCCCCCGCGGAAAGAAGAAAAGAAATCCGGCCGGGGGGTTGGGGGGTTGAGGGATGAGTCACGGGGGCGATCCCAATAGGCAGCCGGAGAGGCGGCCGGAGGGACAGCCAGGAGCCAAGAAGGCAGCCAAGAAAGCAGCTGGAGAGGCAGCCGCGAAGGCATCCAATATACGGTTCTCGAAGTGTTCCACCCCGCTTCGCACGCAACATCCTCGAAACTCAGGGCCCCGAGGCGCCTTGACTTGAGATGATCTGGCCGCTTTCGCCAGAGAGATCCTCCCAATTCCTGGATCCAAGATGCGGTTCTCGAAGTGTTCCCGCCTGTTTTGCACGAGACATCCTCGGAACTCAGGGGCCCGAGCCGCTTTGAGTTGAGGTGATTTGGCCAGAGCCAGAGCCAGAACCAAAACCAGAGCCACAACCAGAACCAGAGCCAGAACCAGAGCTAGAACCAGAACAAGAGCCAGAACCAGAGCGAACCAGATCCAGAGCCAGAACCAGAACCAGAACCAGAGCCAGAACCATAACCAGAGCCAGAACCAGAAGTATAACCAGAGAATGATGACGGTAGCCAGAGCCAGAGCGAGATTCAGAGCCAGGACCAGAGCCCGAAGCAGAGCCAGAACCAAAGAAAAAACCCGAACCAGAACCAATACCACGACCCAATCGCGAACCCGAGCCAGGACCAATACCATGAGCAGAACAAGAGACAGAAGCAGTGCCAGCGAGGGGTCCGCACCGAAATCTGGAAACAGAACCACAGGTAGAACCGGAGCCAGAAGCAAAAGCAAATCCCGACCAGCAGCCAGAGTTGCACCCATATCGCTCGCACAAGCACAAAAAAGTCAGAACCCAAATCCAGAACCAGAGCCAAAGCCATCGCCGGCACCATGATCATCACCATCATGATGATAATAATAAAGTTCAGCATCATCGTGACCAGCATCGTCATCATCGTCGTAACCATCATCATTTCCATTGTCGCGTGTGTCGTCGTCGTTGTCACCAGGACCAACATCGTTGCCCGCGCCACCATCATGAGGATCACCCGTCCCTAGGGGACACATTTACGAATCAAGGTTGAGCCCGCGCGAGCGCGCTGCGCTGTCGCTTCCTGTGCAGCGCGGAGCTGGGACTGGCGAAGATGGTTGGCGAGGCGGGGGCAGATTTTTCATTCAGTACACTGATGCATCCGTTACCTGCAGGTGCCTTTGGGGTCGTGGCACGCGTGCAATCATGCATGCCAAACGAAGTGGCTCCGCCTTTTGTGTGAGCTTTGCTACGCAAAGAACTGAAGGTAGAGGCTGCAGATAATGCAATCAAGAACTTATTGTGGAAGCTCCAATCGTACGTGGGAGTGGGGGATACCAGAGAGCGCGACTTGAATCATCCAGCGCTGAAGGAGCTGCAGGAATTGCGCCCCGAGTCGGAGACTGTACTTCTCTCGTCCACACACGGCCAATGCCCGAAATGCGAAAAGATTGATTTGGTGATCCAGCCAGACAAAAGCAGAGGCCGCATTGGGAACAAATGGGAAGAACGGGACGCGGCTTCTGCTTCGCAGGATTTTCGCATCCGAATCTACACTCTCGGCGCAGGGGTCAAATATTGTAGATTCCGCGGGGGGGGCACTGTCCATCCTGCAAGTGCTACGTCGTCGGCAATTGGATGTACAGAAAGAATGCGGGCATCCACGGTCGCGCAAACTTCGGCGCGATGTCTGGCGTCGCCGCCGTGCACACGCAGGCGGCCTTGCCATACTTTGCGGTGGCCCAAGAGAAAGCGCGGCACGCGGTGGACCTGCAGCTGTTGCAGTTCAGAACTGATGACTTGCAACACAGCGGCGGCACGTTCACATCTGCCATCCACGCGCGGGCCAAGCAGCACCCAGGGCGTGAGCAGCAACACCTCATCCTGGGCGACTTCGTGACACAGACAGACCACGCGCGTGTGTGTCTGGAGGACGCCTGGTACATGCGCAACGCAATTCGTTTGGCAGGAGCCAACGTTGGGAGTTGTGAGTGGTCTTTCACGGAGAGCGGCATAGAGCGCGCCATGGCGAATATTGTGGCATGCGTGCGAAGGGCGCACCTGGCGCGCATCGCGGAGCACGTGCGGACGTGTCCGAAATGCGTTGACAAGCTCGTGACGTTGCTAGATGGCAAGCGCGGCGCCCGCCGATTCATCTGCGGCGGCTTGGAAGGCTATGGGCCCATGGAGGGCCTGGACTTGGAGTTGTACGTTGGCTGCCAACGGAATGCCCCCACGCAATTATTTTGCAAGTTCTGCCGCCCGTCAAAGATAGAACAAGCGCACTTGATACCCCAGGAAGAGATCTTGGGCGTCGCTCCTCCCGGACCGGCCGCTGACGGCGTCTCCGCGCTGCGGCGCGCGATGAACTGCTACGACCCCGATTTGCCGGGGCGCCCCTTCGACGCGCACTCGCCGGAAGCCGAGGTGGACAAGGACTTGCTGGCGAAGTTCGAGAAGTCGTTGCTTCGGAGCTGGGGCGGTCGCGGCGACATGAAATCGCGCCCGGCGTGGATCAAAGGAAGCCGGCAACTTGCGCGCTGGCTGAGGAAACAGACGCCGGCTTGTGGGCCGCCCAGATTGGTCGCTGCGAGCAATGGCGCAAGCGCTCAGGGCGGGGCAAAGAAAGTTCGGCGCGGCCTTGCTTCTCGGGCGCCAGCCCGGAAGGCGGCCCAGGCGGGCCGAGGCCACAGGGGCGAGGCCGCGGGCATTTCGCGCCGATCAGGAAGAGGGAGTGCTGGCGGGGCTGTGGCCACGGCACCGAAGCGGCCAGCTCCAGCCAGGTCGAAGAAGCGGCCGGCGGCGGCCGACATGGGCAGCAGCGCAAGCAGCGCCCACTCATTGAGGAGCCGCTGCAGGGGATGGCTTGCTCTGGACAGCAAGCAGGAGGAAGCCATCCAGGCGCGCGGCGTCGACGAACTCCACGGAAGTAACGAAGTCAGACGCTGCGCTGGAGGCATCGCGACAGCAGTGACATCGTGCGGCATGCTGGTGGACTGGGTGGAGCTCTTCCGGGGCGAGTCCATCGAGCTGCTGCATGCGTTCGCGCTGCGGCTTCACATGGACGGATGGCGACGCCCGAGGTTCTACTCATGGCGCGGGCCCCCCCCCCCAATACGGCCAGCGTGGAGGGAGGGGCCGAAGGGTCGAGGGATCGCGAAAGGGCGCGCTAGGGGGATGGAGAAGCGGAAATGGAGGGGAGGGAGAGGAAGGAAAGGAGGGGGGGGCGCGGGGGAGATGGGCGAGGGGAGGGGAACGGAATGGGAAGAGAGATGGAGGAATGAAAATACGCATGCGCGGATGCATCTCTTGTCGGGAGTGGGCGGGGCACGGGCTGAGCAGGGCGCGCTGGCGCCGGCGTCGACCGGGCAGGATGGCCGCGAGCTGGGCTTCGTCAATGCGGCCCCGGGATGCGACAGGGCGCGCAGGCTTCTGCCACTTGCCCGGGTGAAAGAAACGCAATATCTACCATGGGCGAAATCTTTCGCGGAGGAAGTGCGGATGGTGTTGGACAGGTTCCACCAGGACAACCGCACTTGGTGTTTGAACAACATGCCAGAAGTGGACCCCCTGAGGCCAGATAATGCCAAGCTGTTGGAGAAGAAAAACGCGGAGGCACGTGGGCAATTGAACTCTTGGATCAGCGGCAGGACACGGAATGGCCCAACCAATGGCTCGAGCGAGAAGCGGCATGCGAGCGCAGACGTGGCGAGGCGGGGCCCATGCAGCGCCAGACGAGTGGAGCACCTCAAGATGCGGGGGCAGCTAGCAAGTAGGCGCCTAGGCCCGCACTGACACGGCGTGGCCAAGTGCATTGCGTGGACTTTGCGCATGCCAGCTGGTTTTACCTTCGACCCTTTTGGAGCTCGTGGCGCCCCGGACTGGAACTGTAGAGTTGCAGGTGCGTCGAGAGCAACAAAAAACATCCGAAGGAACATCGCTGTCATCGCACGCATAGCTGACACCGCGCAGCCTGCATCGCATAGCTTGCACTACATGGCTTGCATCGCATAGCTCACGCCACGCAAATAGCGCAAAATACTTAGCCACCTTGCCTACGCAATATCGACTATACCGCGTAGCTTACTCCGCTGATCTTACACCACTAGCAATGCAAACAGAAGCAACTAGCACTGCCCGCCTCGGCGTCGACGCCACTAGCAGTGCAAACAAAAGCACGCGCATCGCCGCCATCGCCGAAGATCCCAACAACAGCAATATCAAACTGTCGCGGAACTCCCAGGGGGCGCTGCACGGCGCCGCGCGCCCAAGAAATTTCAGCGCGAACGACAACAGGTGCCATGCACCGGCTCGCGCTCAGTGTGATGTTCGGCTTGGCCTTCAGCGGGGTCTACGTTGCAGCGACTCCGAAGGCCCGCTTGTTACAAGCCCCCGCATTGACGAAAGGAAAGATTCGGACTATATACCAGATTATGGAGAACCAAAACCCATTCCCCGAGCAGGCAGCGCGGCGGGCAACGCCGCTCATGTGGGCTGTGGCCTCGGCACTGGGCAAGGCGACCTCTCTGCGCGCGTCGTGCGTGCACGTCCACCTCGCGATTCTGGTGGCCACAACTCTCGGGGCAGTTCAGCTCGAGTACGGTGGAGTCTTATCCCGACAATGCAATCAGCTCATGATCCAGCATGGCCCACCTGGGGATGGAAAGTATGTTGCGCTGTGGTTGGACGTGCAAGTGCTGGCCTTCTTCGACATGATACAGGAGAGGCGAGCCAAGAAAAAATACGGAGAGGCCGAGCAGAAACACAAGGAGGACCCAGATAACAATCCACAGCCGGCGAAAAAAGAACATGCTAAAGACACCATCTTCAACGAAGGGACGTTCATCGGCCTCGGGAACTTCATGCAGGCGCAAGGGGAGACCGCATTTCTTGTGCTACACGAAGGGAAAACATGGCCACCCCACACCTTCGACAACGGCCCAGGGGGCGGCATCGACGACCTCAACCAAATTCACTATCATGACATGTACAAGAACCACCCTGGGAATGCCCAGAATCGTTTTCCCGCATTTGTGCGGAGCGGTCACGATGCACGTCGAAACGATGTACGACCAGGCGCAGAAGTCCGACACCACCGCGGGCATTCTGCGTTTCCTGATCGGCAATTCTCAGCCGTTCTCACCATGAAGGAGTTGCGGCAGATTGTGAGAGAAGCTCACGAGGACACGGTGGGGGTGATCACTCTGTTGCAGACAGGCCCCGCTTCGAATGCCAATCCTGCCCGCATCGCCGGATCGCAGGATCGCCGGGTCGCCGGGTCGCTAGGGTGCCGGGTCGCCAGGTCGCCGGGTCGCCGGGTCGCCGGGTCGACGCGTCGCCGGGTCGCCGGGTCGCCGGGTCGCCAGGGCGCCGGGACGCCGCGTCGCCGGGTCGCCGGGTCGCCGGGTCGCCGGGTCGCCGGGTCGCCGGGTCGCCGGATCGCCTGATCGCCGGATCGCCGGGTCGCCGGGTCGCCGGGATGCCGGGACCCGGGTCGCCGGGTCGCCGCGGGTCGCCGGGAGGCCGGGTCGCCGGTTGCCGGGTCGCCAGGTCGCCGGGTCGCCGGGTCGCCGGGTCGCCGGGTCGCCGGATCGCCGGATCGCCGGATCGCCGGGTCGCTGGGTCGCAGGGTTGCCGGGTTGCCAGGATGCCAGGTTGCCGGGTCGTCGGGTCGCCGGGTCGCCGGGTTGCTGTGTGGCCGCGTCGCCGGGTCGCCGGGTCGCCGGGTCGCCGGGTCGCCCGGTCGCCGGGTCGCCGGGATGCCGGGTCGCCGGGTCACCGGGTCGCCGGGTCGCCGGGTCGCCGGGATGCGGGGTCGCCGGGGGGACGCTGGGACGCTGGGTCGCCGGGGCGCCAGGGCGCCGGGTCGTCGCCGGGTCGCTGCATGGGTCGCCGGGAGGCTGGGTCGCAGGGTCGCCGGGAAGCCGGGCCGCCGGGTCGCCGGGACGCCGGGTCGCCGGGTCGCCGGGTCGCCGGGTCGCCGGGTCGCCGGGTCGCCGGGTCGCCGGGTCGCCGCCGGGTCGCCGGCCCTTGTGGAGTTCTCTCTGCAACGTTTCGTGGCCCCATAAGGAGCTCGACCGAAGGCCCCACTGGGGCCGCCTGCATGCGTCACCCACCACCCAGTACAGCGTTTGTGGCCTCATAGAGGGCTCCACCGAAGGCCCCAGCGGGACCGCCCGCATGCGTCATCCACCACCCAGAACAGCGCTTCGTGGCCCCATAAGGGGGCTCCAGCGAAGGCCCCATTGGGACCGCCCGCGTGCGTCATCCACCACCCAGTACAGCGTTTCGTGCCCCTACAGTGAACTCCACCTAAGGTCTCCGTGGCGGAACTCGCATGGCGGCCCAGTGGCGGAGTTCACACGGCGGCGATTTTCGATATCTGGAAGTTTTTTCGACGTATTGAAACCGTTTTCGGGCCGCGCATCCCGGGCGGATGCCAGCCTGCTCGCTCTCTCTGCTCTGCGCAGCGGGCGACCCGCGCGCGTCGCTGGAACCTTTGCGGGGCGACCAGCGCTCGTCGCGGGGGCTCCGTGCGGCGCCGCGCCCGCAGCCGTGGACGCGGGCGTGCACGGGCAAAGAGAAAGAAGAAGAACGGGAAGGAAGCGGGCGCGATCCTCGTGAGAGGCGCTCCGACATGGGCGCCGGCATTTACGCACGTAGTGTAGACTCACGCGCGCGCAGACTCATCCACAATCAGACTCACTCCCTCTCAGTCTCTCGCACACAGACCGATCGTTTTCGCTCGCGTTGTGTGCCCCGCCACGCATGTCGGCACGCCCCTCAAACGGTTCCTAGCCCCATAGGGACCGCGTGCGAAGATGATATTCATAATTGCGGTATTCACAACTGAATCTGGCCGGGTCCTTCGCCAAGCTAATTTTCCTCCTCCACCCCACCCATCCTCGAGAAGTAGGAGAAAAAATGAGGGTGGGAGGAGGAGGAGGCAGGAGGAGGAAGGAGGAAGGAACTGGAGGGACGAGAAGACGGAAGGAGGAATGAACACTCCTCCCCCCCTCCTCTTCCACCTCCTCTCTCCTCCTCCTCCAGCTCTCTCCTCCTCCTTATCCCTCTCTTCCTCCTCCTCCTCCTCCTCCTCCTCCTCCTCCTCCTCCTCCCCTCCTCCTCCTCCTCCTCCCTCCTCCTTCCTCATTTCTCCTCGTTCCTCGTTCCTCGCTCCTCCTCCTCCTCCTCCCCCTCCTCCTCTGCCTCCTCCATCCCTGTCGCACCCCCACGCGTGTTTGTAGAGCGGGCCAAGGGTTTCGCCGAAGACTTCCGCACCATTTGCAATTCTGATGATCGTTTGTAAAACTTCATTGATCCGTGCTCATGGGGTGTCTTGGGGGCCGGGCCGGGGGTAGGTATGATACCTCCTCTCTTCCTCGACGGGGCGCTCAAGCCTTTTGTGTTCAGGCCGCTCGCGGGGTGGGCCGCAGCCAACCCACACTGTGCGTGATGCTACCCTGCGAGCGGCTGCTCGCGCAAGGCTCTCACACCACGTGGCGCCGGGCCCGGCCCTTGCCATGGGGCTCGCCTTATCTTTCCTGGGCGACACAGAGCTGCTAGAGTGGGACCTCGAGTCGCCGATCGCGCCCGCCAACGAGAGCGACCCTCTCTCGCGCTACGAGCGCATCTCCCCGAGGCTCAATTTCACAGAGTACGTTGGCCTGTTAAGGAACTCGGTGCACAGATGGAGTCGGATGTACCGCAACGCGGGCGGAGGCCAGGGCGAAGTTGCCCTGATGCTGATGAGGCTATACCGTATACCCGAAGAAGAAAGCCGACATGGGGTGGATCTACGTTCGGCCAGACCGAAGCTTGGGCTCTGTCGACATCAAGGATCGGTCACGGATCACCGCCAAGCGATAGCCGAACACCACCTACGCCCACTTCCCCGCCCTGTCCGCAGAGGAGAAGACGGCGGCGATCGAGGCGGGCACCGAGAAGCAGCTAACCATGGAATTTGGTGCTGCACGCTGGCACTCATGGGGCTCTATGCTGGGATGGGCCCGCAGTGCTGCGGTCGCTATGTGGGCGACGTCATCGTGGGGCACCAGTGGAGGCCTCACCTTCTTCGCCTGGAGGGCCGCGCTGCACTTCCGAGCCTGGGACTGGGCCAAGTGGGCGGTGGAGAAGCTAGACGACGCGCGCGCGTTCCTGATAGAGCTGGACGACTTCAGGGCCTACCTCTACAACCTCTACCAGGGCGGTCGCCTGGAGTTGCCGATGTTGCTCCTCTCCTTCATGATGGCCTTCACCCCCGCGCGCTGGAGTTGGCGTTGCCGCCATGGCCTGCCACGGTTTGGCGGCGCCAGCCCTCCAGGGAGCGATGCGGACAGCGACGGGGGAGCTGGGCCTTCTGTTCACGAGTCGGACTCGAGTCGGAAGGGAGCAAGGAAGCGTCGGAGATGAGGAAGATGATGCAGGACCTGATGGAGGAGATGCACCGGGATCGCCGCGACCGCCGCCGCGCGGAGGCGGAGACCGAGGGAAGCTCAGCTCGGGGTGGCGGGGACAGCCCTCGCCGCTCGGATGGGTCGTCGGCTTGGAGCCCTGGGTCGAGCGCAGGCAGCTGGGAACGCGCCCCCCCGCCTGCCGAGATGGGGCATGCACGTCGACCGCATGATGGATCACCTGAACCAGTTCGAGAAGACCATCCAGGCGGACTGAACGCCAGGAGACCACCGTGCAGTTGCAGACCAGGCGTCGACCGCAGCGACGGCGGGCTCGACAGCACCCCCCACCATCAACCTGGAAGAGGTCGCGATAGAGGAGGTCGGGGTGAACATCGGGCCGCTGCGCGAATCGTTGAAGGACCCGAGGGTTCGCCCGATGGAGAACCTGGCGAAGCTGAAGTCGGCCACAACGTTCGAGCTGCCCCCAGGGCTGACGGCCCGCATCGCCCCCGACCTCCTCGTGCAGACATACGGCAAGTACGGCAGCATGCGCAAGTTCGCGACGGACTGGGTCAAGCAGAAAGAGCTCTACAATAATCACATCGGCCACGAGATGTTCTTGCATTGCATGACCCTGGATCGCATGTTGGAGGCCTCTCCCAGTTTCATCACGACGGCTGGCTGCGAGATCCTGTGTTCGAGGGTCTACGCGCTGAAGCGGGCGTTCAAGGGTGCGCGCGCGATGTCACACTGGAAGCAGCCCCGCGGCGCATCGGCCAACAAGTGGAAGTAGAAGTTGCGCTGGGACCCGGTGAACAAGCTGGATTGGCGATCAGTGATGGTTGGGGAGGAGTCTCCGCCGAGCGTCGAGAAGGACCTCGCTGCGCGGCTGCAGCAGAAGGCGCCGTTCCAGAAGTACCTGCACAAGGCGGGCTCCGATGGGCGCCAAGGAGGAGGGGGAATGACGGCTTTCTGCGTGGAGGTTTTCGCCGAGGCCGAGCTCCTTTGGCGCTGGGCGCGGGTGCTGGCGCTTCGGCGTTCCGTCTGCCTCGACAGCGGCTGCATGCGCGGGCAAAACCCACGCTCTGCGATCTTGGCGGAGTGACTGGGTACCTTGGCCTCTTCGAGCTGCTGGCGCCTCGCCGACCATGTGGCGTCTGGTGGCTTGCATCTTTCTCTTCAGCTACACTGCCCTGGCCATGGCGACGTCTGGCGCAGCTCCGGCACAAGAGACTCGACCTCGCGACAGCGATCTTCTGCCGGACATGCCGCTGCCCCCCTGGGACGCGGTGGCCAGCCGCATGGAGTCCGCCCCCAATGGCACCATCAACAAGGTGAGGTCCCTGACCAATGGGCCCATTCGCGTCCTGTACTCCCTCTCGCGGGGGGCGGTGGGATCGGTGGCCGGGTTGGGGCCTGCGGCTCCGTGGGAGCGATCGACCTCGCTCCAGAGACGGCCTTGGAGCTTCTGGATTCGTGGGCCTCCTGGCAGGGCCACATCTACGACGTCGACGTGGACGTGGACGCCGCCGTCGAGCGCGCCCTCGCTGGCCGGGCCTCGCCGTGCGAGGGCGAGGGGGTCACCGAGTCCCTGGGCGTGGATTCGAAGGGTCGCCGCGCGCTGCCGAAGGGTGCGATGTGCTCAGTCGACGTGGACGAGCTGGTGCTGCCTGCGCCTGGGACCGCCCCCGTCAAGCTTATCGACATCTGCCCCCTCGCTGTCGAGTATTTCTCGGACATGGAGGGCCGCGTGCTGAGGCGACCAGATTATGTTATGATGCGAGAGTTGAAGGCCAGGTAGTCCACCGGGACCCCGCACTGATGTCTCGCGGGGCTCGCTCGCCCCTGGCGGAGCGACTCTGGAGAGGCGGCATGCTGACCTTCACCAAAGAGAAGAAAGAGTCGGTTTCACTGTTCGGGGTCATCAAGAAGTACGTGGAGTCGGAGGTGGACGGCGACCTGGTCCTGCAGCGGCATGGGCGCGCGATCTGGGACGAGCGGCGGGCCAACCTCCGCTGGAAGCGGCCGCCCCACGTGCCGCCCGGCAGCCCCGCCTCATTCGCGGACCTGGACCTCTCCGACATCGAGGAGGAGGGGCGCGTCTACTCCGTGGTCGGCGACGTACCCGACATGTTCTACAGGTTGGAGACGCCCCCGCAGTGCTGGCCGCACTTCTGCTTGGACGAGATTGGCGTGGACGAGTTCGTGCCGTGCATGGCCGAGCGAGCGGTCGACGTCGAGGCGTCCGCCGACTCGCGCTACCTGGCCCTGAATGCGCTCGCCATGGGGTGGTCTTGGGCGCCGTTCCTGGCGCACTCCGGCCTGCAGGCGTGCATGGAGATGGCCCTCGGCGAGGGCTCGGTTCGCGCTCGCCTAGTGCACGGGCCCCCGACGCCTCAGCTCACGGCGACGCTGGCGGCTGCGAGGCGAGGCGCTCAACTGGGCCTGCATGGGCGACTGCGGCGCGGTGGCGAGCAGCGCGGGCGCGAAGGGTCGCGAGAAGGAGCTGATCTCGAGCATGGCGGCGAAGGTCAAGTCCTACTTGGAGTCCGTGGGCCTCGCGGCCCACGAGGAGGAGGAGGGCGATGGGGCTCGAGTCTCTGGGGCCTGTCCTGAGGGGCCTATGTGACTGGATCGCGCCCGTTGAAGACATGTCGTCTGGCCCTCGTGACCCTAGCCTTGGTGGAGAGACCCTACTGGACAGCGACCATGTTGGATCGCCACGTCGGGCCTTGGGCTTGGGCAGCGGTGTTCCAGCGAACGAGCCTCGCCATCTTCGACCAGGTCTACCACGAGATGCGACGCCCTTCGAGCCCGACCGCCGCCTTCTGTCTGTCCGCGGAGGCGCGGGCCGAGCTCGCCACCGCTGCCTACTGCGCCCCGCTCATGGTCACGTGCCTGGAGTCGCCCTGGGCCCGCCGGGCCATCCTGACCGACTCCAGCGACGCGGGCTACGGAGTTGCCGTCGCCCAGGCCACGGTGGAGGAGATTCGCGCGGTGTCCAAACACTGCGAGCTGCGAGGCTGAACCATCGCCGCCGAAAACCTCTACGCCAACACCGAGGAGGACGCATGGCAGGAGGGCTGCGGCGGCTACGCCCACGACGCCGACGAGCTGGCGCAGGCCACGGCCCCAGTCGCGCGTGGCCCGAGCGCGCGCGCGTTCCGCTTCCTCTACCTCTTCGCGGGGGTTCGGCGGTCAGGAGACCTCGAGGAGCACCTGCGGCGGCGCGCGGAGAGCGCCGGCGTCCTCGTCGAGGTCATGTCCCTGGATGCAGTCATCGACCCGAGGCGCGACCTCACCGACCCCGACTTCCTGAACGTCATCGTGAGGCTCGTCGACAAGGGCTACTTCCAAGGGGTGCTGGCGTCGCCCCCGTGCTCGACCTGGAGCCGCGCCCGCTTTCGAGGTCATGGGCCCCGCCCTCTGCGCGCGCGCGGAGCCGCGGGGGCGCGCCGACATCAGGCTGACCTGGTGGGAGCGGCGGCGGCTCGAGCTGGGCGCCAAGTCGCTCATGACGGCGTTGACGGTGATCCGCGCGGTCTGCACGGCCAGCGGGGTCGGCCTGTCGGAGCACCCGCCCGACCCAGGGGGGGCCGCCCTATCCGTCGATCTGGAACCTCGCAGAGCTGAAAGACCTCGTCAAGGACTTTGGAGGATGGGTCAACTACCTGCACCAATGCCGCTACGGCGCCCCCTCCATGAAGCCGACCATGGTCGGCATCTTCGGCGCATTCAACAGGGGCGACGGGAGCGCCGCCGCTCGGCTCTGCCTCGCCTGTAACCATGAGGGGCACCATCGGGTGACGGTCGAAGGCCGAGAGGAGCCAGGAGGTCCGACCTTTCGCACCGCTGCTGCGCAGACCTACCAGCCAGAGTTCTGCAATGCCCTCAGCGAGGTCATCATCGAGGCGCTCGTGCACATGAGGTCGAGGAGGCTCGGGCCCGACGTCGAGGGTTCACTGCAGTCGCCTGCGTCGGCGACGATGGGGCCATCGCGACCTGGGAGATCGAGGGAGGAGGTGCGACGATGAGATCGGATACGAGCGCCCCCGCTGCCCCACGCCAAGCTTCCGCTGACGAGATGGAGACCCCTCTACTTCGGCAAGTGGCGCTAGACCGAGCACGCCAACATCGACGAGACGCGTGCCATCGTGGGCCTCCTGAGACGCCTGGCCAGGTCCTCGAGGTCGCGGGGGCTTCGCGTCCTCATCCTGACCGACAGCATGGCGGCCTTGGGCGCGCTGGGGAAGGGCCGATCGAGCGCCCCAGCGCTGTTGCGCCTCTGCCGCCAGGCGGCGGCCATCACCCTGGCGTCAGGAGAGGTACCGCTGGGACACGAGCTGCGCGCCCTTGGTCAGGCTTGCGCAGGATTTGCTGGTGGCTGACGATGACACTCTTCGACCTGGTTCGGCGCGCATCGGCTGACCGCGAGCCTCTGCGGCCCATGGCACGACCCCGATGACCAAGAGGGGCCCCTTGGCATGTGACAACTACGCGACGGACCCGAACGCTGGCTTGCTGGACGGTGGCTTCACGCGCTTGCTCACGCACTCGGTGGCCGACGCCACCACCACCGAGTGGGCCCCAAAGGTACGACAGTTCCTCAACTTCTGCATCCAGCGGGGCTGGCAACTCACATCTGAGTCGGAGGTCGACCGTGCGCTGGCAGACTACATGGACATCCAGTGCTACGGCGAGCGCAAGAGAGCGACCCTCGGCTCGGTGGTCCTGTTCGGCATGTTGGTGATCTGGCCAGAGCTTCGCAACAATATGCCCATTGCCCTGAGGAGCCTCAAGAGTTGGCAGAAGCTGGCTGGCACGAGCGAGGGGGGCCCACTCCCAGAGGAGGCCATCTACGCGATCGCCATCTACATGATCGAACAGGGCCACTACGTGGAGGCCGTCTGGACGCTTACGCAGTACGACGTCTACGGCCGAGAGCAGGACATGGAGATGCTGAAGGTCGCGGACGTCGTGTGGGACGGCCAGTGCATGGCCCTGACCTTTAACGTCTCGAGTCGCGGGGAAGAGGTCAAGACGGGCACCGAGGCGCCGTCGTGCGGCGGGGCGCGGTCGCCTACCTGGCCCTTGGCGCGCACGAATTCAGGACGAACAGGGACGAGAAGCACTTCGGCATCGACCAGATCCGCTTCCGGAAGCTCTGGCCCCAGGCCTGTCGCGCGCTGGGCATGCCGCGGGCGCCCCCTCCACATGGGATCCGCCACTCGGGCCCCAGCGAGGACATCACCCGAGGCCGCGCGTCGCTCGAGCAGGTCAGCCTGACCTGGTCAGGCGCCGTGGGAGGTGGAAGGCCTGTCCAATGTTCAGCGCTACTCCAAGACGTTCGCCCTGACGCAGTTCCGCGCGAGGATGCCAGAGGTGGTCCGGGAGTCGGGCATGCGCGCGGGGCGGGACCTAAAGGTGGAGATCCTGCGAGCCCTGCGGCTGCGTCCCCGCCCGCGCGGCAGCTTCCCCGAGGCACTCGACAACGCCATCCAGAAGGGCCTCGCCAAAGACATCGCCGCCGAGCTGATGAAGATCAAGGGCTCAAGGGTGCGCAGTTCCAAAAAGGCCAACCAGACTGACGATGACGACCAAGACAGCCCAGGAGGCCTCTTCTTGGATGAGACGCTCGGGGGGGACACGGGCTGGTGGATTGAGTGATGGGGGCGCCTTTCGGGGTGGCTAGGGGGGCCATACGAGGGCGCCCTAGAGACGGTGGCCTACGGGCGCGATCGTCACCCCTTGGTTCTGTGTTCAGTCTGTGTTCAGGCGTGGCGTCGGCGACAGCAGCAGTGTCCTGGACGCCTTTTTCTGCGGCTGCGCTGGCCGCCACGACAGATTCAGAGTCTTCCAGCGTCGGGGGCACAAGTGGTGTTTGAGGGCGAAACAAACCACAAGAGCCACCCGACGCTGGCCGTGCAGTCGTCACCTCATGCCCAGTTTTTTTTTCAAGCGTCGGGGGCACAAGTGGTGTTTGAGGGCGAAACAAACCTCAAGAGCCACCCGACGCTGATCTCCGGTTTTTGCAGATCTTGTGGCCACGTGGTGTGGATATTCTTTTTTCAGCTTGTCGCAGCTTCCCGCCACACCCAGCCCTGCTGCGACAACTACGGCGTTGCCAGGAAAAGGGTGCGGGTATTGGAAGTTCGTGCTCACGATTCGTGCTCGTGAGCCGCGTGATGTACGAGTTTGCGATCGCCCGCTTCGTATATCAATATATACGTGGCCCATCTGGACCCTCGTTGTGCTGCTGGAGAATTAAAGGCGTGAACATCGGTGTCAGATTTCAGGTGCTTTGTGTTAGTCTCTCAACTCTCGCTGGCCCCCGCCCTCCCCTTGAGCTTGTAGGATAATGACCGCTTGTCAAACTTGATTGATCCGTGCTCGTGGGGTGTCTTGGGGGCCGGGTCGGGGGTAGGTATGATACCTCCTCTCTTCCTCGACGGGACACTCAAGCCTTTCCGCCACGACCCGCCCATTTTAAGAAGCTCCCGTCACAGTCAGAGTTTATAATGCTATTTGAGTCCTCCGAGCTCGGACTCAAAAGAAATTCGTGCTCACGATTCGTGCTCGTGAGCCGCGTGATGTACGAGTTTGCGATCGGCCGCCTCGTATATCAAGATGTACATGGCCCACCTGGGCCCTCGTTGTGCTGCTGGAGAATAAAGGCGTGAACATCGGTGTCAGATTTCAGGTGCTTTGTTTTAGTCTCTCAGCTCTCGCTGGCCCCCGCCCTCCCCTTGAGCTTGTAGGATGAGTTCTGAAATTTGCAACGGTTTCAAAGATGGAGGGCGGGTCGTTTTCAAAATGTGGCTCTTGCATTCGTGCCGCCTGCAACAGTTTCCAGGACGGGGTCGTTTTCAAAGATGGTCCTCGCCTTAGCGCCGCGCACATTCGTCTTAAAAGTTCGTCACAGCTTCAAGGATGGAGGGCGGGTCGTTTTCAAAATGTGGCGCTCCCCTTTGGGTCGCGCACATTCGTCTTCAACGTTTGCAGCAGCTTCAAAGATGGAGGGCGGACGGTTGTCAAAATGTTGCTCTCGCCTTAGCCCTGCGCGCGTTCGTTTTGAAAGTTGCAAACGCTTCAAGGGCTCGTGCGGTTGACGACTCAGGAGTGGTGTTCTGGCATGATTCAGGGTTATCAGGACGCAACATTATGATTGATTCGCAGTGTTGAAATCCCAAGACTGGTGATCTGGCACGACTCGGGATTGTCAGGACGCAGCTGTCATTTTGATTCGCGGCGTAAGAAAAATAATTGCGCTTTGGCACGATTGGGGATAATCAAGCGGTTGTCTTCCAACCGGTCAATTCCCGCAATGAAAATAAATTCTTGTAGGTGCCTCTGATGAGAAAGCTTGGGGGGGCTCTTGCAACATCGTCGACGAGTCTTGGGTTTACACTGGTCCTCCTCTTCCTCCTGCTCCTGCTCCTGCTCCTGCTCCTCCTCCTCCTCCTCCTCCTCCTCCTCCTCCTCCTCCTCCTCCCTCTTCCTCCTCCTCCTCCTCCTGCTCCTCCTGTCCCCGCGCGGCGGAACTCGACACGAAGGGTGGCGCACGGCCCGCGCGCCTTCCGCACCAGGCTTGCGCGCAAGTATAGACACGAGAAGCGACAGCCGCTCGGAACGTCGCCGGTATCCTCGACGAGAGGGGTGGGCTCGGCGGGTCTCCGCCGCAGATGGTCGTCGTCCTTTCTCGCAGCCGTCGTCGTCGATGACGGAGGGGTAGGCGGCGCCACTGCCGTCGTCGCCGCGGGGTGGGAGAATTGGGGGGGAGAGATGGGAGGGGGGGAGGGAGGATGAGGATGATGAGAAAAAACGAAAAGTAGTAATACTGCGAATGGTAAATATAACAGAGAAAGAAAAGATGGGACAGGAAGCAGGAGGAGCAGGAGGAGGCGGACGGAAGATGAGAAGGAAAGGGAAGGAAAAAGGATGAGATAGGATGGTGGTGATGATGATGAGGGGGAGGACGACCACATTTACCCAAGGCGCATGAACGATATTGCAGTAAACCCGCCCTCCAAATTCACTGTTCAAAGGCCCCTACCATGATTTATTTCCATTGCGGGAAATACCCCACTGGAAAACTACCGTCTTAGAGTCCTCAATCGCGCCAGAACAGCATTCCTGGGACGTCAATACAGCGAATCGACATGACTGTTGCGTCCTAACTATCCTAAACCGTGACAGGTCACCAGTTCTGGGACTTCAACCATACGAACCCTGGGAGCTGCTGCAATTTGTCAAAACGAATGCACTCTGTGTTAGGCGAAAGCCACATCTATTGAAAAGGAGCCGCCCCCAATCCTTGAAGCTGTTGCAGACATCTAAAACGTATGTGCGCCGCGTTAAAGCGAGAACAACACTTTTTGAACACGACCCGCCCTCCATCCTTGAAAGAAACGTGCGCGGCGCTAAGGCGAGAGCGACATGTTGAAAACGCTTCGTTCTTCATCCGTGCATATGCTGCAGACCTTTGAGACGAATGTGCACGGCACTGTGGCGAGGGCCACATTTGGAAAAACACCTGCCCTGCATCCGTGAAGCTATCACTGATAACAAACTTCAAAATCAGAAACGATGAGAAAATCTAAACACAAAGAAAAACAACACAACGCCCTGCCCGCCCTACCGACACGTGTGGGGGCGGGACAGGGACGAGGAGGAGAAGGAGGAAGAGGCAGGAGGGAGGAGACCCTGGACAAGGATGGCGGCACGCACGGCCAGAACGGGCCCCGGGAGAGGTCCGTGGGCTGGCTCTGAGCAGGCCCTGGCTGGGGGAGAAAGGGGGCTTCGTGAGGGCAGGCGGGCCTCTGGGAAGCCAACCTGCACCCTCAGGAGGCCACTCTCCGTTGCGCTTCCTCCCTGCAATTGCTTTCCGCCGCCCAGCGCAATCGTGACCCAGAGAGTCGTTGCACCACCAACTCCTTCGTGCATCACCGCTCCTGGATTTGCTGTTTCCCACTTCTCCCACTCCTCGTCCTTGCACATTGCATGTTGTATGGATCAGGGTCCCGCAGGCGAGGTAAAGCCGAGCACCCACCGTCCGCTGCAATGTCCTAATTGCTCATGTGCCTGCTGGACATACGCCGGTCTCGTCTTCGCCATTTCCCAGTCCGATACTGGGATTGGGATCGGAGGTCGTGCGCACGCGCGCACGCACACCAACACTTACGCGTGCGCGCACGTGCGCAAGCACGTCCACGTTTTTGTTACCCCGACGCGCCAATTTTTTTGTTCTTGGAGGGAGAACATGGGAGCGGACCGTAAGGTTCAAGAACCACCGTCGTAACGCCAAGGCCGTTTGCACTTGAAATCCGTCTTCTTCCTCACCAAAAGTGTGGCAACGGACACAGGAAACGACAAGGCAGATAACACAAGATACCCCGACGCGCCAGTGACACTGCTTGGCGGAGACCAGGTCAAACGGGCCACGCACAGGCAGCACTTGCCACCCATGTGCGGCAACGCAGCAAGAACGCGGACCTGTCCACAGAGGGCCTTCGGACCAGCACGAAAAAGCTGGGCGGCGCAACAGGCTGCAAGCACGCACGCGCGCGCACTTGCGTGCGCATGTGCATGTGCAATTGCCCGCCACCTCTCATTGGTCCTTCCGTCTGTCTCCGCTTCGCGCGTGCTTCACCACTCATGAAGCTGCCGCGACACTAGGCGCGTGGCCGCCGAGGTAAAACGACAGCCTGCCGCGCTCGTGCGCGTGCAAGGTCAAGCGCGTGCGCGCACGCGTTGGTGCAGGCGGCCTCCGGCGATCACGGCCTCAGCGCCCCGAGCTGGTGCGCTTGCGCACGCGCGTTCGGCATGAGAGGAGCGGGTGCTGAAGGAAACGGGTCTTGGACCCTGGGGCCTGCCCAGTCCCAGTGTTGTTATCGTGAACAGCTTGTTGACGGCCCTGGGGCCCAGGAAGGGCCCCAGGAGCCAGAAAACAACCAAAGCCTGAAGGGCCCATTCCCTCCAGCGCCCCTCTTCGTCATGCTCGGGGGTCGAAAGCCACCCCCTGGACTTCTCCAAAGGTGTGTTCTTGCCAGAATTTTGAAGCGGATCCAGCCGCAGCGACGAGGACGCTCCAAGAGGCCCCAGAAAGGCCTTCCGGAAACGCCCAAACGCCTCAGACGTCCAACCTCGATCGTCGAACCTTTCCGCTCAAGGCGAGCGTGCGCGCGCTGGGCCATGAGGTCCGACGTCACGAAAAAAATGAAACACTGTGAAAGTCATGACCAAAGCCCCAGAACCCATCTTTCTGCAGCATGTCGCGAGCCGGGTCGGTCTGCGAGAGCCCTGGGGCCTGGACCTCAAGGAGGAGGGTGAAAAAAGTGCTGGTTGTGAAGAGAGTGCGACGCCAGGACCTCAAGGAGGGGAGGGGGAGGGTCAAAAGGGCTCCGATACCGCTACTCCCTGGCCTTCTCCTGGGGTGCATGCTGATCAGAAATGACGAGCAGCTGTATCGGTGTCTGTTCTGTGTCTTTTCCTGAGTGGCGACATCCGAACCCTACCCCCAGCACTCCTTGGTTCTCCCGAGTCGATGGGAGGCGGGGGTGAGGTAGGGTGTCGCCGCGTGTTCAACAAATTCAAAATATCCTACCCCCGCCGCCCATCGAGTTGCCTGAATCGTTGATCGGCGAGGTTAGGGCGACGAGGCCAAACCCGCTCAGAATCGGTCCCCAGACCCCTCCGGGGGTCATTCTGGTGCAGTTTTTCACCCTGGACCCGTTTCTGACGGTCCCGGGGCCCGAAAGCAGCCGCCAGAGGGCGAAAATGATACCAAAAAACTATCCTGGCGAAGGACCCAACCAGATGCATTTGTGGGTACCACAATTGTGAATATCTTCTTAGGTCAAGCTCCCTATGGGGCCACGAAGCGCTGCACTGGGTGGGGGGGAACGCATGCGGGCGGTAGCACTGGGGACTTCGGTGGAGCTCCCTATGGGGCCACGAAACGCTGTACTGAGCGGGTGAAAATGCCAGAACTGGGCTAACGGGATGCACGCGGACGGTCCCACTGGGCTCTTCGGTGGAGCTCCCTATGGGGCCACACAGCGTTGTAATGGGTGGGTGAAAATGCCAAATTGGGTTTCTGGGACGCTCGCAGACGATCCCACTGGGGGCTTCGGTGGAGCTCCCTATGGGGCCACGAAGCGATGTACTGGGTGGGTGAAAATGTAAAATTGGGTGTGCGGGACGAATGCGGACGGTCCCACTGGGGGCTTCGGTGGAGCTCCCTATGGGGCCACGAAGCGATGTACTGGGTGGGTGAAAATGTCAAATTGGGTGTGCGGGACGAATGCGGACGGTCCCACTGGGGGCTTCGGTGGAGCTCCCTATGGGGCCACGAAGCGCTGTACTGGGTGGGTGTAACTGCCAAATTGGGTGTGTGGGGCGCATGTGGGCGGTCCCACTGGGGGCTTCGGTGGAGCTCCCTATTGAGGCCGCGAAGCGCTCTACTGGGTGGGTGAAAATGTCAAATTGCAGCTTCGGTGGAGCGCCCTATGGGGCCACGAAACGATGTACTAGGGTGTGCGGGACGCATGCGGACGGTCCCACTGGCAACGAAACGCCGTAGTGGGTGTGGCGAACGCATGTGGCCACCCCTACTGGGGCCTCCGATGGAGCTCCCGATGGGGCCACGAAGCGCTGTACTGGGTGTGGCGGACGCATGCGGCCACCCCCGCTGGCCGCTGGGGCCTTCGGTGGAGCTCCCTATGGTGCCACGAAACGCTGTACTGGGTGTGGCGGACGCATGTGGCCACCCCCGCTAGGGCCTTCTGTGGAGCTACTATGGGGCCACGAAGCCCCCTACTGGGTGTGGCGGGCGCATGTGGTACACCCCACTGGGGCCTTCGGTGGAGCTCCTGATGGGGCCACGAAACGCCGGACTGGATGTGGCGAACGCATGTGGTACACCCCACTGAGGCCTTCGTTGGAGCTCCCTGAGGTGTGGCGGACGCATGTGGTACACCCCATTGGGGCCTCAGGTGGAGCTCCTCCCTATGGGGCCGCGAAACGCTGCACTGGGTGTGGCGGGCGCATGTGGTGCACCCCACTGGGAGGGGGGCACGGGAGGAGGAGGAAACGCGGGGACCGTTTCTTCACAACGAGGACCCAACACCACAGGATGGTTGGGTACCTTTTCACCGAGGGCAGGGTTCGGACTTCCCCGTGTCTCACTCTCGTCTGGGGGGCGGAGGGCCCAGCTCCTGCAGCAGCCCGTCCCAGTCGAGCAGGGAGAAGTCGCCCCATACGCACGGCGCCGAGGCGTGCACCTCGAGCCCCACTGCGGCAGCGGCCTCCAGGCATCGCAGAGCGGAGGCGGGCTACCACGTGCAGCGGAAAGAGGTACCGATCGAAAAACCAAAAGTCCCCGATGGTCTGATGTTTTTGCCGGGCTCAATCTGGACGTGTCTCCCCGACTTCGGTCTCCCCCGAGGCAATCCAAAATCGATCAGCGAAGAAAAACCACCACTCGGGGAATCCAAAAATCCATCGGGGAAATCCGAAGAAAAACCATCGGGAAAATCCATCGGGGAAATCCAAAAATTCATCGGGGAATCCAAAAATCCACTCGATCAACGAAGAAAAACCGAGGCAATCCAAAAATCGATCGGGGAGGCAATCGGGGAAGCTCGGGCCGCGGATTGGAAAAAACAGCGGCCAACCCACCGGCCAACTCCAACAAACCCTCCGGTCAGCCCTGGTCAAACTGGCAAGCCCTCCCGGCCGTCCCCTCGGGCAAATTCCCGTCGGGGCAGTCCTCTCCACAAGCCACGGCAGCACGAAGGAAACGGGTCCCAGAGGGAAGGGGTCCTGACAGGGCTTCTTTTGTGCAGTTGTCTCGCCGATCTGCACGGGCCCCCTCCCCTCTCCCTCCAGATCTTGGCTGTTCTGGGCGGCTGCTTTGAGCGACTGGACAGGACCCCTTTCCCTCAGTCTGCTGGCGCGACCGGCGGAGGGAGGTCGACTGAGCACCGACCCAGACCCAGACCCCCCACCAGAATAACAAAAACATACACCCTGCGAAATGCTTAAGAAATCATGGGTTAAGAAATTCATAGTCTCAGAATTTAATTTAAACCCCGAATTTCTGTCAAAATCTTAAGGATTAAATTGAAACATTAAGAATAATCGAAACTCTGGCCGGAAACTTAAGTTTTCTTGAGCATCGCCTACGGTGTAGTGTCGAAATCCGTAGCCATTTTGGCTCAAGCTGGCCCGCGCGCGCAGCTTTCTTCCAATCCCGGACGATGGCGGCTGGGTGCAAGCGGGAGCGGTGGCTGCGGGATGGCGCGCCAAGACGGACTGCTCAGGACACGAAGCGGCCCAGGGAACGGGCCGAGCTGTGTGCTGATCGTGCTGTTCAACGCCTTAGCCTCGCGCTGAGGCAGCTGCAGCAGGAGCAGAAACAGCTACAGGACGCGATCAACCCCATGTTCGGCGACCCCGATCTTGATGACAGGACCTTGGCGCTTGCCCCAGCCCTTGGGCGCTGGTGGCTGGCCGAGTTCCGCCCCATGTCGACGTGCTACGCAGGAATGTGGCTCTTCATGCGGATGCTCCTGGCTGCCGCCTCCCCACGGCGCCTGTCGAGCAGCTCCGCGTGCTTCAGAAGGGGCAGCGCCTGGAGGGCCGAGCCTCTGCGACTGGCATTCGGGCGCAGCTCCCATTGAGCGTTGATGCCCCCTCGTTCGTGCCTTTCTGGGCGCCACGTCGCTGGGTGCCCATTGTGGAGGACGACCTGTATGTGGACCGGTGCCCGAACCTGCCACATGATGAAGTTGTTGATTGTGCTCCTGCTGTCTCGTCTCCTGGCTTCGTGTGTGCTCGCGAGACGGAGCCTGAGGCAGTGAAGCAGGAGTCCGTGAATGAGCCGATGATCGATGAGGTCAATTGTCCCGATGATGATCCCTTAAGCCCTGTTGAAGCAACCGCGGATGATCGTGACAACTGCGCTGATCATGATCCACGAGGTGCTACTGGAAGTCGTACGGCCACCAGTTCCACTTGGTGGGCAGCGCGCCAGAGGGTGGCGCGAGCCTGGTTCGTGCCGACACAAGCCCAAGAACTCGCTGCTCCTGCTGCTGGTCTCGTGGCCGTACTACATGGTGATCGTCGAGCGACGCTGTTCCTGAGGACGCGTCCTTATCGTCGTGACAACATTGGGTTCTCGTTTGCCCCGAACTCTTTCTGACCTGAGCCCTCTGATCCATCTAGATCTGACCGTGTGCCGCGTCCTGCCAAGCGCGCTGTCTGATGCAGGTGATTTATGTTTCATTATTCGCGCATCTCTCGCATGTTCTGCTCCTGCGTAGGAAGGATGATGTAGATCTTGTGTATACATTCGGAAATGGGATAAAGTCCCTTTTCTCGATTGCTGTTTTTTCGAGGCCCTCGAGGTTTCGGTCCCTGTGTTCTCGGTCGCGGCCCTCGCTCGTCCTTGTCTGGGTCCTGGTTCCCCGCCCCTCGCCCTCTTTCGGTCCCCTTCGGGCCCGCCGTCGCGCGTCGGCCACGCGCAGGAAATATTGTTCTGACGATAATCCGAAGATAAGAAATTACCCTGCGACGTACCCAACCCACGTGCATCAAGTGGCAAGAGAAGTAGGCCAACATTAGCAGGAACAACGATAATGTAGGCGATGTGAATTGCTGTGCAAACTACATGGGATGCGCACGCATTGCACGGCTCACAGGACGACGATCGAAAGAACGAGGATTAAAGCCCCAGGCTCGCGTATGACGTCACTCCGCTGGGCCACCCAGCAGCCCTCGAAAGTGGTGACAGTTTCGCAGATCGCAGCCCCCCAAGGATGGCGAGGTCTAATCTGAATCCGAATATGTCCCCACTCCGCTGGGCCCTCCAGCAGCCCTCGAAAGTGGCGACAGTTTCGCAGATCGCAGCCCTTCGGGGATGGCGAAGTCGAGCCTGAGTCTGCGTAGGACCCACTCCGCTGGCCCCCCAACAGCCATCGAAAGTGGCGACGGTTTCGCAAATCGCAGTCCCCCAGGAATGGCGAGGTCGAATCTGAGTGCCCCGCTCCGCTGCCCCCCCCAGCAGCCCTCGAAACTGGCGACAATTTCGCAAATCGCAGCCCCCCCCCCCAGCGATGGCGAGGTCTAATCTGAGGACCCCGCCCCCACAGCACGGCGCTAGCGAAGGCGCGGCCTGCTGTAAGGCCGCGGGACGTGCCAGCCGCGAAGCGGTCAGAAGCGGGCCCTCAGGAGACGATGATGATGGTGGCAGCGGTGCAGCACCCCCCCATTTTGCTGCTGCGCTGGCCGCGCGCTCCTCCCGCCGGCGCTAGTGGCGCCAGGCGGGCCCCTCCTTCCGCCACGCGAGGCGGGCCTCGCCGCGGTGCCTTTAGACACCAAGGCAAAGCCCAGGGTGGGCGGGCAAAAGAAGGCCCATTCGGGCCCTGGGAGGGCTTCGAGCCCCGAAGGCTTGAGCGGGAGAGAGGGAGAGAGAGGAGCAGGCAGAGGCAGGAGCAGGGAAAAGAGGAAACCCAAGCCGACTGGGGAGGGCGGGGTCCAACCGTTTAGGACAAACAACTAAGACCCCGCCCCCACAGTACGGCGCTAGCGAAAGCGCGGCCTGCTGTAAGGCCGCGGGACGTGCCAGCCGCGAAGCGGTCAGAAGCGGGCCCTCAGGAGACGATGATGATGGCGGCAGCGGTGCAGCACCCCCCCCATTTTGCTGCTGCGCTGGCCGCGCGCTCCTCCCGCCGGCGCTAGTGGCGCCAGGCGGGTCCCTCCTTCCGCCACGCGAAGCGGGCCTCGCCGCCTTTGTTCTAGCGATACTGGTGCTGCTGCCAGTGACCCTGCACACTGGCCGCCTGGCGGACTCTGCACGCCGGCGTGCTGCGTGGGCGCCCTGATGGGCGTCACCAAAATTAGGTGCCAGGCTCTGTGCAGCCGGCACCATCTATACTCCGAGTCGTGCACGGCCGGGCGCAGGCGCCAGCGTGCGCGCGGGGCCCAGCTGGCCCTCTTGTCTGCCGACTGCCGCCAGGCAACTGATGCCGGCGTGCGCGGCTGTCCTCCGTGAGGTTAGGCCTTGGGCTCGCGCCGGCGCACTGGTTGCCGGCGGAGCCTGACCTCGGGCCAAGGCCCGAAGATGCCATCGCTGGCGCTCGGCACAGGCCGGTGCTTGGCACCCCCGTCCGCGCCGCGGCCTCCAGATCTCCCGGCTCCCCGCCCCTCCACGAATGCTCGGGGCGGGCAGGGTCCGGCCCCTGACAGAGGGGGGTCCCCGGGCCGGCGCTGGGGTGCGGGCCTGCGCCTGTGCTCGAATTCTGGTGCTGCGGCTACGCTGGGCTGTCAGATTGCCAACTGCCGTGTCTTAAGCTGGCGTCAGTGTGCCCAGCACGACCATGCTTGACAAAGAGAGCCGGCGTACCAGGCAGGCTTCAGCATGGCCCTTGTCCGACGGCTGCAAAGGGGACCCACAATATTCCAAGCACTGGTGGGGCCCCCGACGGACAGGCCTGTGCGCGCATGCTCGCGCTGAGGTATTGACCAGTGCCGAAGGCACGGGTGGGTGTGCCCTGCGGGCGCGCGGCTGATCTGCCGGCGGCGCGGGTGGTCGAGTTACGGCACTCAAGCACGCACGGCGGTCAGGCCGGCGGCTTGGGCTGGGCGCACGCCAGGTGTGCAAGCACCGGCGGCCTCACGGGCTCTCACGCCTGGCGCCCTCGGCGCCGGCGGCAGCCCTGCTGGGGGCGCTGTCCTTCGCCGGGTTGGTCAGCGAGGAGGCGCCCCTGGCCATCTTGCCAGAGACGCCCTTCATCGGCTCGTGCGACTCCCACAGGTAGCCGTGGAACGCGCCCGACTGCCAGCGCCCGAACCGGCGCACCCGGGAGAGGTCCTCGGTCACGCGGTACATTGCGGTCGCCCCGCCGATCCCCAGGGAATGGCTGCCGATCTCCTCCCTAGAGAGGCCGGCGGCCAGCCCCGCGACCGTCAGGAAGTGCTGCGCCTCGGCCCTGCGAATCGGTGTACCTGACGCCCAGCGGAAAAGGGGCAGCCGTTCTTCGGTGCCCTTTATCCGCTGGGGATGGTGAGCCTGGAGCCGCTCCATCGCCGCGATCGGGCAGAGCGTCGTGCCGGCGCGGTAGTGGTTCCTCACCGTCCCGACGTTGAGCTGGTCCGTCTTGCTGCCCTTGATGTAGATCACCATCTCGTCGGCGTCCTGGAAGCTGGCCACTCGCTTCCCTTCCTTCTTGGGCTCTACGTCCTCCCCGTGCAGCACGCGCTCGAAGGACCACGAGCGCCCGTCCTGGAGGAGGTACTCTGAAGC